GGGAGCCGGTCCATCCTTGCTGTTTCAAGGGACCTGGCATATATGGCATACTATTCTTCATATGTTTGCTCACCTTCTTGGCACTATGTCTTTTAACCAAGGTTACCTCTCTGAGAAAGGTTGTTTCCCCAGGTAGGGATTTTCCCCTGAAGTTAGGGAGGGAATAAAACCCCTTAACTAAGTGCCAGGCGGGTAATTAATCACTTTAACTATGAACAATCATGCTTAAGCTACATAATCTTTACTCCCTGGAATGGAGATAAGAAACGCCCTAACCTTTGGAATAGAGATTGATAGGATTGGAATCAACTGGTATAAATACAGATGTAACAAGACAACAGCTCTACAGAACCTAGACAGAACCTAGACACAGAACCTAGACACAGAACCTAGACACAGAACCTAGACAGAACCTAGAGACAGAAGAACTTCGCTGGAGAGAACATGGCAAAAGATCCTGGACAGAAACTGGCCACAGAACCTAGCGAGAGAACCTGGCTGAAGAACCTAGAGACAGAACCTGGCTACAGAACCTGGATAGAACATGGCAAGAGAACCTGACTAGAACCTGGTGACTGAACCTGGCTGGAGAACCTGGACAGAACCTGGCTGGAGAACCCAACTATGCTGATCAACTGAACGCTGCCTCCATGTTATTCCTTCTTCGCTGACTCCGTCCACACCTTTGGGGCCCCCTGGACCTGCTGGGGTTGGACCCCAGCAGATGCATACAACTGCTTATTATTAGAAACAGTGGAGGCCAGCAGACATTGAAGCAACATATTTAAAGTGCTGAAAACTAAGGAAAAAACCCCTGTCAATCCAGTATTCTATAATCAGTGAAAATGACTCAAAAATAAAGCCCAAATTAAGAGAATTGTAGGTTTGGTGGTTCATCAATAAAAATTTATCAAAAGAAAGATTTATCAAAATATCAAAACATTTATCAAATGATTATATTCATCGTCATTTGGAAAATGCAAACTAAAACCACATAATCCAGCACTAGGCAACCATGAAACTCACCCATTTTTATTGGATAAGGCCATATGACAAGTTCTGGCCAATGTGTTGGGAGCAAAAGTGACCTGTGTCACTTCTGGGCTGGTGCATTTAATTGTTGATAAAAAGCCATCAGAGCATTCTTTCCCGCTTGGTATGATAATTTGTAACCCTTGAGATGGTGGCTGATTCATTCACTCTGCAGATTCCCTGAGTGACCAAACTTCCCTTCCAATCTATAATAGGTGTGGTTGTAATTTTATATGTCAACTTTACTGTTCCATGCAGTACCCAGATATTTGGTTAAACATTATTTCTGAGTTTGTCTGTGAGGGTATTTCTGAATGAGATTAACATTGGAATTGGTAGACTAGTAAAGAAGCTGGCCCTCCCCCATGAGGGTGGGCCTCATGCTATCTATTGAAGGCTTGAATATAATAAAAAGCTAAGTAAAAAGGAATTGCTTCTTTGCTTGACTGTCTCTGAGTTGGGACATTGGTTTTCTCCTGCTTTTGGATTTGGCCTGGAATTTAACACATTGGCTCTCCGGGGTCCCAAGCTTACTAACATCAGATCTTGGACTTCTCAATCTTCACAATTATATGAGCCAATTCTTTATAGCAAATCTACACTCTCTCTCTCTCTCTCTCTCTCTCTCTCTCTCTCTCTCTCTCTCTCCCCCCTACTGGTTCTATTTCTATGGAGAATTCAGACGAATGCAGATTTTTTTTTTGTATTGAGAATTAGGGTGCTGCTGTAATAAATACCAAAAAATGTGGAAGCAGCTTTGAGACTGGCTATTGGTAGAGGGTGGAGGAGTGTTTTGTTGTTGTTGTTTTAAAAAATATATTTTTAGAGAAAGGGAGATGGAGAGAGAGATAGAAACATCAATGATGAGAGAGAGAGTCATTGATCGGCTGTCTTTTGCACACCCTCTCTGGGGCTTGAGCCTATGCCCGGGCATGTGCTCTGACTGGGAATCAAACTGTGACCTCCTGGTTCATAGGTGGACACTCAGCAACTGAGCCATGCCTGTTGGGTGAGGGTGGATGAGTTTTGGGGTGCATGCTAGAAATATACATATGAAGGCTAATTCTGGTGAGAGCTCAGAAATAAATGAAAACTGCAGAAAATAGTCCATCTTAGAGAGTATATAAATAATCATGAATAGAATGTTGATAGAAATATGGATGTTATGGGCCATCCTAATCATTCTTATAATTTGTTAGTCAAAGCAAGGGAAGAATGACCCTGATGGCCGCTCAGAGCCTTAGGGCTGGGGGTCCTTGCCCAGCAGTGTCTGTGTGGCATGATTTTTCCTGGTGGAGCCTTAAGGGTATGATCACCAACCAGCTGAGACTTGGGAATAGGACTGCTGCCCAGAATAGTTATGGAGATGAGTCTGCTGCCCCAGTGGGTCCAGAAAGTAGAGCATCAAACCAAGAGAATTGTTCTTAAAACCTAAAATTTGATGGAATTTGCCTTGTTAGGTTTGGACAGATTTGGGACCCATCATTCCTTTCTTCCTTCTGATTTCTTCCTTTTGGACTGAAAATGTCTATCCTATGCTTGCTCACCATTATATTGGGGAAGCCATCAACTTATGTGGTTCTACAGGTTCACAACTGAAGGGCAATTTTGCTTAAGGTTAAATTGTACTTTGAGTTTCACCCATATATGATTTAAATGAGATTTAGATAGTGGAATAGAATAGAGAACCCAGAAATCAACCCAAACCACTATGCTCAATTAATATTTGACAAAGGAGGGAAGAGTATACAATAGAGTCAAGACAGTCTCTTTAATAAATGGTGTTGGGAAAATAGGACAGACACATGCAAAAAAATAAAACTAGACCACCAACTTACACCATACACAAAAACAAACTCAAAATGGATAAAGGACTTAAAGGTAAGATGGGAAACCATAAAAATCTTAGAGGAATCCACAGGCAGCAAAATCTCAGACATATGCTGAAGCAATATCTTCACTGATACAAATCCTAGGGCAATGGAAACTAAGGTGAAAATAAACAAATGGGACTACATCAAAATAAAAGGCTTCTGTACAGCAAAAGAAACCACCAACAAAACAAGAAAGCCCACTGCATGGGAGAACATATTTGCCAATGTTATCTCTGATAAGGGCTTAATCTCCAACATTTATAGGGAACTCATACAACTTAACAAAAGGAAGATAAACAACCTAATTAAAAAAATAGGCAATGGAACTAAATGAATACTTTTTGAAAGAAGCCATACCGAAGACCAAGAGACATATGAAAACATGCTCAAAGTCACTAGTCATCTGAGAGATGCAAATCAAAACGACCATGAGGTACCATCTCACACCTGTCAGAATGGCTATCATCAACAAATCAGCAAATGATAAATGCTAGTGAGTATGCAGAGAAAAAGGAACCCTCGTGCACTGCTGGTGGGTATGCAGACTGGTGCAGCCACTGTGGAGAACAGTATTGAGTTCCCTCAAAAAACTAAAAATGGAACTCTCATTTGACCCAGTAATCCCACTTCTAGGAATATATCCAAGAAACCAGAAACACCAATCAGAAAGGATATATGCACCCCTGTATTCATAGCAGCACAATCTACAATAGCGAAGATCTGGAAACAGCCTAAGTGTCCATCAGCAGATGAATGGATTAGAAAACTGTGGTACATCTACACAATGGAATACTATGCTGCTGTAAAAAGGAAGGAACTCCTACCATTTGCAACAGCATGGATGGATCTGGAGAGCATTATGCTAAGTGAAATAAGTCAATTGGAGAAAGATAAATATCACATGATCTCACTCATTTGTGGAATATAATGAACAACATAAACTGATGAACAAAAACAGATCCAGAGACAGAGAAGCATTGATCAGACCATCAAACCTCAGAGGGAAGGCAGGGGAGAGTGGGAGGGAGGAGGAGAGATCAACCAAAGGACTTGTATGCATCATATAAGCCTAACCAATGGACACAGACACCAAGGGGGTGAGGGCATGAGTGGGGGGTGGGTGGGGGGGGACATGGGGGGATAAGGACCCATATGTAATACCTTAATCAATAAAGAAAAAAAGAATTTAACTTAAAAAAGAAACTATTTCAACAAATTGATAAAAAAAGACTTTAAACGTTAGACTTTAGAGTTAATGCTGGAACCAGTTATAACTTTTGAGGAGGTTGGGATGGAAGGAATATATTTTAGTGTAAGAAGTACCTGATTTTTGAGAGGCCAAGGGGCAGAATGTCATAAACTGAATATTTATGTCTACAGTAATTCATATGTTGCAGCCATCATCCCCAATGTGATGGTATTTTAGGTGGGGTTTTGGGGAGGTAACTAGGTTTAGATGAGGTAATGAGGGTGGGCCCTCCTGGTTGGATTAGTGCTCTTAGTAAAACAAAGAGGGACAAGAGCTCTATCTTGGATATGTGAAGACACAGTGAGAAGGTAGCCATCTGCAAGCCAAGAAGAGGCCTCTCACCAAGAACTGATTCTGCCGGCACCTTGATCTTGGACTTTCCAGCCTCCAGAACTATGAGAAATAAAATAATTGTTTAAGCCACCCTGTCTATGGTATTTTGTTATGGCAGCCCAAGCTGACTAAGACAATGGACATGAAGAGAATTAAGTTTTCTCCTTTAATCCAGTGAAATTTGTAGGTTATTTGTTACTTCAGTCTAACCTAGCCTGATATGATAGAATGGTTGTCAAACCCAATTTTGGCTATCTGTATTCCTTGGATCCATTCAGGTTCAGAACATAATTCTTTTTTTTTATTACACTAGTAGTGTTATCCTGCTACATTTTAAAACAGGTTGTATGATAACTATTGTCAGTTGTTGTATTGTAACTCTGAAATGTTGACTGCTATGTGGTTATGCCCATAGATTGTCTCTTGTGCTATAAGGCTTGGAAGAGACTGAACATAATTTTCAGCCCTTGCTAGGGACTACCTCAGAGAACAACCCTCTCACTTTTTTTTTTTTTAATATGGAATGCTTCACAAATTTGCATGCCATCCTTGCTCATGGACCATGCTAATCTCTGTATTGTTCTAATTTTAGTATATGTGATGCTGAAGTGAGCACCAACCCGCACTTTTTATTGTGAAAACAGGTTTTATTATACTTTTTATATGCTCTGATAAGATTATTTCACTGACTCCTACTTCTCCAATAAATCATAAAATTCAAGAATGCCAATATTTTAGATAAAGCTACTTCTTATATATTATTTCCTAATATTGTTTTTCTCTAAATTGCATGGTTCTACTTTATGTACTTCCACTGTTTATTCTCTGGCTTAGTTATTTTTCCTCAACATAATATAATAAATGACATTCTAAAATAAGAGTGGCTACATCTTTCTAAGGCTTTATCTTATTGGCAAAAATTAATTTAAGTAGAAGCATGTATTATCTAATTTGTTAGTTTGCATATGTAGTGTAAAAATTAGAGCTAAACATTTTTTTTTTAATTTTAGCCTTATATGTATGTTGCAGATGCAATCTGTTTGTCTGAAATATTGTTGAAAGTAGTTAAATTATTTGTAACAGTTGAGATTTCCACTTTGACTTGCCATAAATTAAAAGAAAAATGTTTTCTACTGAAGCCAAAGCTTAAAAATTCCCCAATAAAAACTCTTTTTGCATTTATCATATGACTTAATGTGACACAGCATAATGAAATGTAATTCCGTTTTCTATTATTTATTCTACCATGGCACAGTATATCACTTAAAACTGATTTATCTTGGAAGAAAAGCCAATTTCTGAAGTATTTATGGTATGAAGGAATAATTACTATGAAGCATCACAAGGCTACTTCTGTCCTGACATTAGAATCTTGCAACAACTTTTTCTAAACTTCGGAGTGGCCATGCAGAATTCTGTTTCATAGGACGTTGGGAAACACTAAAGGATTAGCACCCTAGGAGCATGTAATGTTCTAAGAGATAGTGCAGGCCACGTGAGAGGCAGAGTAGTTGAGTATCCATTAAGAAAGTTCATGTGCATTCCAAGGTATTCTCATGAAATCTGCCCTGGTTCTTAGCCTGAACAATATCTTAGGTGGAGGGCTTAAAAATACTTATTGAAGATAAACACAAGAAGATTTCCCTTTTAATGTAAAAAATGTCATTACAAATCTGTTATAGGTACTGTTTTATGCTACTGTGGTTTTGATATTTGGAACTTTAGAGTATAACAAGGGATGCTAATAATTATGGCTAATAACATGCATAAACTTGAACTTTAAATAGGCAAACTAGGAGGTATATATAAATTTTCTCAATGAGTTTTAAACTAATTACACACATAAAACATAATTATATAAACAATACAAAATACACACAAAATAATGCAAAATAAAAAATAATTACATAAAATAATCACAGAAGCATTAAAGCTTTGATTAATTTACGCTCTGATTTAGTGTTTAGTAAATATGTGTGCAAATATATATGGCATTTCTGCAATAGATGCTGTCCCATGACCTCTTATTTATCTGCGCTTCCTTCTCCTGCCCTACCCACATACTTACTTGCATTCATACGTGTCCTTGGCATATTCTAATCATGGTAGCCAAAGCAGACTTTCAGATTAAAACTACTTTCTCCCTGGGCCTCTGGGTTAAGTTCTTCTTTTCATACCTCCTTAGGGACCTTACTTGATTGATTCTTTCCCAAAGCCTGGAGAGTGTTACTGGAGGTATGTATGAGTCTTGGTAGTAGTAGCAAATATTCAACTAAAAATTGAGTGCAAGGTCTCCATTTTCCTTGTTGCTTGATATTGAGAAATTCCCTTTCAACTCTGGAGGCCACTACAAATGGACCCCTTCCAGGCCTCAGCTTTTCTGGAGCAGCTGTAGAAAGCAGCCCTGAAGACGTGCAAGTCTGAGCTATTGACAGTAGAGAATTGTCTATAGAGGGAGAACTGAATGCTTCTTATCTTTTTTCTCATGGCCCCAAACACATTTTTTTAAAAAGTGTTCTTACTACTCAGCCATAAGAAAAGATGAAATGCTGCCATTTTCAACAACATGAATGGATCCTGAGAATATCATGCTAAGTGAAATAAGTCAGATGGAAAAAGTAAAGAACCATAAGATTTCACTCATATGTGGGATATAAAACTGAAAGCAACAAATGAACAAACAAGACAAGCAAACAAAAACTCACACACAGACAGCAATATGGTGGTTACCAGAGGGAAAGGGTGGTGGTGGGGAGGTAGTAAAGCATAAAGAGGATCAAATACATGGTGACAAATGGATGACTGACCATGCAACAAGCAGATGATGTATTATAGAGCTGTGCACTTGAAACCTATATAATGTTATTAGCCAATGTCACCTCAATAAGTTTAATAAATTTTTAAAAAGAAAAAAAAATATTTTCTCTAAATCTGAACCTTATTTTGCTTTGGGTAAAACCGTATACTACAGCGAGGGACATAAAATAAGCAAGCAATTAACACAAAATAACTACAGACTCACATTTGAATCTTAAGTGATTCAGAACATGTTTTTAGTATTGTAAAGTAGTAAATGGCTTAAATAGATTTAACTGGAATTTAAAAGTAGGCTAATCTCATAAGCTATAATTGAGAGAAGGACAGCAGGTCACGCACTTGTCTTTGTAGCTACACATACACACAATTATTACTTCCAGCAGGATCATCTTTGAATAAAAAAGAAAAACAATTTGTATTATAATTAAATCTAAGAGGAAAACAATCGCAGGAGGGATTTACTATAGCCTGATACTTTTAGTGATCTTTCCTTCTAAGTATCAGTGAAAAATAAAAGAACATTTTTAATTGAAATAAGGACAACCTCCAACACAGCATGCACATCAATAAATCAATAAACAACAAGTGTTGGCAAGGATGTGAAGAAAAGGGAACCCTCATGCACTGCTGATGAGAATGCATATTTGTGCAGCCACTGTGGAAAGCAATATGGATTCCTCAAAAAATTAAATGAAACTGCCTTATGACCCAGTGATTCCACTTCTGGGAATTTATCTGAAGAAACTGGAAACATTAATTCGAAAGAATATATGCACCCCTATGTTTGGTGCAATGTTATTTACAAGAGCCAAGATTTTGAAACAGTCCAGCTCTATCAGTAGATGAGTGGGTAAAACAGCTATGGTACATTTACACAATGGAATATTACTCAGCCATAAAAAAGGACATTTCACCCTTTGCAACATCTTGGATAGACCTGGAAATTATTATGCTAAGTGAAATAAGCCAGTCAGAGGAAGACAAATACCATATGATCTCAATTATATGTGGAATCTGATTAACAAAATAAACTGACAAACAAAATAGTAGAAACAGGGATGGATACATGGAACAGACGAACAGCTGGCAGAGGGGAGGGATGTTCAGGGGCTGGATGAAAGAAGGTGAAGGGATAAGCAAATAAAAAACCCCCCAATAACATATTGATATAACACATAGATAATACTGTGGTGTTAGCCAGAGGGAAAGGGGGTGAGGGTAGGTAGAGATGGGCAAAGGGAATGGAGACCAAAAGAGACTTTGCTTGGGGCACTGGGTGCACAATGCAGTGTGCAGATGAAGTTTTGTTGAGTTGTACACTTGAAACCTGTGTGGTTTTGTGAACCAGTGTCATCCAATAAATTAAAAAGTAATAATAAAAATAATGTCATTCAAATAAACAGTTAATATCATCAGAAAATCCCATTTCAAGTATAAATTAGTGTCATCTTTAATACTGATAAATTGAGAATCTCAACATTATAGAACCTGCAGTTTTCTAGTGAATTAGGTAAATTGTAGATAGATCTACTGCCCCACCCCCTTTTATAATTTCGACCTCATTTCTCAATCTTGGCAATCATTACATTTCTTGCTATGTGTTATAGGAACTAATTTATATTTAAAAACATTTTTTTGAGAAACTGGAATTTACTTTTTGAATACAAAACACCAAGTCACATTTTTTCTAGAGAAAGGACTATGTGAGCACATGCTATTTCACTTTTCCAGCCCTTGTACCAGGATGATTGGTGAGAGTGGATAAGGAAGCCCCTGCTTGTAATATGAATGCTTGTGGCCTGGGCAGGGTGTATTGCTAGTGTTTTATGGGCAAAAATGGATACTGAACCCATGAGAACTTGCCCAAACTTCCCATTTTCTTAAGTAAGGTCTGTGGTTTCTAAATAACTGGATTCTGCTTTAATCTAGCATTCCTGCAGGAGCACATCATGACATCTCTAATTTATTGATCATGCCTTTTATTCAAAGTTTTGTAGACACTGAATAAGCTTCAGAAATGATTGTTTTTGAAACTTGTCTTTGGCCCTGGCTAGTTGGTTGAGCATCATACCATGCTCAGGGTGGGGTTGGAGGGTGGATGAAGGGGTGGAATGTTGCCAGTTCAGTTCCTGGTCAGGACCCATTACTCAAGTTTCGGGTTTGATCCCCAGTCGGGGCTTGTGTGGGAGACAGCAGATTCATGTTTCTCTCTCACATCAATGTTTCTCTCTCTCTCTCTCACTCTCTCTCTCCCCCCACCTTTGTCTCTTTTTGAAAAATCAACAAAAACTTATTTTTAAAAAAACCTCATCTTTGAACAGCAAACATAATATAAAATAATGTAAAAAGAACTGTGTCATTAGTTCCCCACAGTCCTCTAAAGACAAGTGATGTGGTTCATTTTTTCTTAGAAATAAATGTATGAGGATAAATACATTTATTTCAATCTATATCTGTATTCAATAAAAATTACTCATCCGTTGCTGTGGACAACAGAGCGATGGGGAATTAATCTTTTTACTACAAACTAGGAGTGTACCGTGGGCAGTTCAATAAAAGCCTCTGAGCTTAAAGTCCATTCTGGGTTGTTGAAAGTATATGGGGCTGGGCCAAGGTCAGTATCTTGCCCTGCCCCTACCTTCAATCTTGTCAAAGCTATGCACTCTTCCATTTCTATGTTTTGGATATCACTGATCCCCCTCTCTGGAATGCCTTCTCCTCTCACTGGAATCCTACGCGTGATTTCTTTTTGAGTATCAATAAGAAATGACATGCTCCAAAGAGAAAGTAAAAATTATC